AAAGTTGGGGGTGTTTGAGTTATGTTAAAAGATAAATCCAAGAAATTCTGAATATCACTTGAAAAAGAACCTGTGTGATATTTTATGCAGTCAGTCAGTAAAATTAATGACAACCTACACAAAGACAGTACTGTCTTTGTTCTTATAAGAACATGTAAACACTGGGATGGGTAGTAGGCTGATAGTAGGCTGAAAGCCTCACATCTCATTATCTAATCACTTATTTTAGTCAGAGAATTGTATTTCCTTTAGTTAATGTAACTAACTGTAAATCTGGGATGTCAGAAGACAAACGTGTAATGTGCTGGATGACATGATATTTTCTGTTGGTAAATTACCACTTGAGAGGTGAGAACTGCAGTTTTATTACAGCTATCTCTGAGCTAGTTGGCTTGCCCTTTTTAGCTCTATAAACCTGCAAAGGAAGCTTTCAGACACACCGTCATCCTGTGTAAAAAGAAAATCCTCGCAATTTGAACTAGTACCTCAACTGTCTTCTATGCTGTGCTTAATAAAGTTAATGAATCCTGAAAGAGTAACATGAGTTATATTTGTTATGTTGTGGCAGCTGCATTGGTAACCACAGTGTTAGCACTGCTGCCAGATTCACGTGTTGTTTTATTGTGGCTCCTGGCTGGGCAGCATGATCATTAGCACATTATTAGTTGTTGCCTCACACCACTGTTCCCTCTGTAAATGGTAAATGGACCGCTTCTCATATAGAGCTTTAACTGACCACTCAAAGTCATTCACCCATTCATACAAGAACGTCTTTCTAAGCTCTTTCCAACATTCATGCACATTTATATTCCAGTGGATGCTTTGGAAGCAACTTGGGGTTAGTATCTTGTCCATGGATATCTGACATGCAGACCAACCTTCTTATTAGTAGGCTTCTGTCTTCCTCCCACATTCCAAGATCGTGCATGGACTAGGTTCATTGTGAGTAAATGTTAATTTTATTCATATATCACATTTCATTACACATAAACTCATAAAACCTCGTGTAGGTCTACGATGACTCAAACAAAAGAAAACAGTAAACTGTGCAGAAAAACAGAATCAACTTTCTGGGAACCTTTCATAACATTTTTATGAGAAACTACTGTCCCCAAAGTTATATGGTCATATACTTTGAACCCAGAAACAGGGTAACTATGTGAGAATGCTGTTTGTTGATTACAGTTCAGCGTTTAACACGATAGTGCCCTGCAGACTGTTCACAAAGCTCAGGGATCTGGGAGTCAACAGCCGTCTGTGTGCATGGGTGTTGGACTTCCTCACTGGCAGAACTCAGGTGGTGAGGGTGGGTAGATGCGTCTCTAACAGCATCACCATCAACACAGGAGCACCACAGGGGTGTGTCCTCTCGCCACTGCTCTCCCCCCACTTCAGGACATTTACGCCAGGAGGTGCTGGACTAGAGCAGCGCAGGTACTGAAGGACCCGTCCCATCCTGGCAACTAACTGCTCCAACTTCTGCAATCAGGCAGAAGGTTCCACACCATCCGGGCAAGGACAGAGAGGCTCAAGAGGAGCTTTTATCCTCAGGCCATCCGTGTGTTGAATCATGCCCCTCTCTTTTTTGCACAGTCGAGGAGTGTATCAGGTCCCATTACACTGCGTGTTATATCTGTATAACCATGCATGTGACAAATAAAGAACCTTGAATTTTGAAATATTTGGAAATTGACATACTTAGCCCTTGTCACCCAGTAACAGCTGGGACTGGCTCAAATAAGCCCAGGCTCTAGGAATATTTAGGGGTGGATTTCGAGCAACAGCTATACAGCTATGAAAGCCATTAGGAATCACGAGAATTTAACTTCTGATTGTTTACCAGAGGAGAGCAGTGGATGAGGTAGTGATCCACTAGAGAAGGAGTTGGTTAACGAAAAGGAAAATGGTTGGAATACAGTGAACAGTAGTAAGAAATGTTGGAGACATACAGCGGCTTGCAAAAGTATTCGCCCCCCTTGAACTTTTCCACATTTTGTCACATTACAGCCACAAACATAAATCAATTTTATTGGAATTCCACGTGAAAGACCAACACAAAGTGGTGCACACGTGAGAAGTGGAACGAAAATCAGACATGATTCAAAACATTTTTTACAAATACTTTTACTTTGTAGAACCAGCTTTTGCTGCAATTACAGCTGCCAGTCTTTTAGGGTCTGTCTCTACCAGCTTTGCACATCTACAGACTGAAATCTTTGCTCATTCTTCTTTGCAAAACAGCTCCAGCTCAGTCAGATTAGATGGACAGCGTTTGTGAACAGCAGTTTTCAGATCTTGCCACAGATTCTCGATTGGATTTAGACACCAGACAAGTCAAGGATAAAGATATTGATGTGCTGTGTTAGTTTTCTGCCACACATAGCGTTTTGCATTTTGGCCAAAAAGTTCCATGTTGGTCTCATCTGACCAGAGCACCTTCTTCCACATGTTTGCTGTGTCCCCCACATGGCTTGTGGCAAACTGCAAACGGGACTTCTTATGGGTTTTTGTTAACAACGGCTTTCTTCTTGCCACTCTTCCATAAAGACCAACTTTGTGCAGTGCATGACTAATAGTTGTCCTATGGACAGATTCCCCCACCTGAGCTGTAGATCTCTGCAGCTCGTCCAGAGTCACCATGGGCCTCTTGGCTGCATTTCTGATCAGCGCTCTCCTTGTTCGGCCTGTGAGTTTAGGTGGACGGCCTTGTCTTGGTAGGTTTACAGTTGTGCCATACTCCTTCCATTTCTGAATGATTGCTTGAACAGTGCTCCGTGGGATGTTCAAGGCTTGGGAAATCTTTTTTTAGCCTAAGCCTGCTTTAAATGTCTCAATATCTTTATCCTTGACTTGTCTGGTGTCTAAATCCAATCAAGAATCTGTGGCAAGATCTGAAAACTGCTGTTCACAAACGCTGTCCATCTAATCTGACTGAGCTGGAGCTGTTTTGCAAAGAAGAATGAGCAAAGATTTCAGTCTGTAGATGTGCAAAGCTGGTAGAGACAGACCCTAAAAGACTGGTAGCTGTAATTGCAGCAAAAGGTGGTTCAACAAAGTATTGACTCAGAGGGCTGAACAATTACCACACCCCACTTTTCAGTTATTTATTTGTAAAAACTGTTTGGAATCATGTATGATTTTGGGAACCAAAATCATACATGTGCACCACTTTGTGTTGGTCTTTCACGTGGAATTCCAATAAAACTGATTCATGTTTGTGGCTGTAATGTGACAAAATGTGGAAAAGTTCAAGGGAGACGAATACTTTTGCAAGCCACTGTAAGTTGCAAAAGGTATCCTTAAATACAGATGGCACTGATAGTGATCAGAGTAGCGCTGCATCGAGGAAGCAGAATGAGGAATCCAAGGTAATAATTAAACTCTCTCAGGAAGGTGCTTGATTGAGGACAGAAATATGTTTTTGGAGTCATTTCTGGTGTACCAACAGCTGTTTCAGCTGAACAAGTCAAAGGAAATATAGTAGGATCCAAGGTTATCGAGGCACAGTGCTTAAAAACTCTGAGAGAAATGTGACAGTGTAGCTGTAATTTAAAAATTTATGGAGGAAAGGCTACCATCCAAACTTTTTTCATTAGTTATATGAATTAGGATGTTCAGCCTTATATTCCCCCTCCCTTGGTTTGCTTTAAATGCCAAAGATATGGGCATGTCACTGGAGGTGGACACGAGTATGGTAAATGTGAAAAAGAGCAAAGTTAAAGTGGTGCAATTGCGGAGGTGAGCATATCTCAGCTTTTCGTGGTTATGAGGCAAGTAAAAGGGCAGCAGAGATCCAGAGAGTAAAATCCATTGATGGCATGCAGAAGCAGAAAAGAAGCTTTGGTTATGAACAAAAATGATTTTGTGCTATTTATGGAGGCTGTAATAAACTGCACCACTCAAACAGACAAGAAAACTGAAAAAATCCAAATAATTGTGAAGACTACAGACCTGGGAATCACGGGTCTGTGTGGGAGACAGCTCAGGAAATGCTGAGTGGTAGAAATCCTAGCTCACAGCCAGGAGGAGGCAGTTCATTGTGGTCCTAAATATTCTGCAGTGGGATGCTTGAAGTCTTATTGCTAATGGGCAGGAACTAAAACAGTATCTCATCTGCAAAGAAAACCTTGTGTAATATGGAAACATGGATAAAAGCAGAGTGGTACTTTGTTTATAAATGAATATACAGCTATGAAGAATGATACAAAAGAAGGTGGTGGCCACATTTGTGTGAACTGGAATATGATATAGATTAGTCAGTGTAAATATAGAGCACAAGACAATCACAGTTAAGGTTTGGATGGAGGAAGATGAGGCAGTAATGATCAACTACTATAAATTATGTAAAAGGATCACTGGGGACATATTAAACACTATAGGTGTTTAATATGTAGGTGTAGGGTGTAGGTGTTCCCTACACATGGGTCTAGGGAAAATAATATGTTGTGGGGATTTTAATGCACTTTCTGGGGAAGCAGATGCACAGATGAAAATGATTCATGCACTGAGGATTCAAATCCTTTGAATTTGGCAGAAGCACTGGGATATCAGCGATACAGGAATTGATTTCTGCAACATTCAGATACATTTCGGTCACGGTCACAAAATAGTGAAATAACAATTACCCATCTCAGGATAGGTCATACAGGGCTTAATAAAACACTACAGCTAATAGGCAAGCACCCAATGGGATTGTGTGCCCACTGCAAAAAAATGGAATCTGCTCAGCATGTACTGTTAGTATGCCGGGCTTGTGTCCTGGACAGGAAGACGTTAATAGGAGGAGCTGAAGATTCATTCCACTGTAGAAACCCTGCTTGGAAAGGCACTGTCTCACATCTATGGCCAACTGTTGAAAGTTGTGATAAGAAAGGGTTCAATACTGCAGATTTTTTTTTTATTCCCAATATTCCAAGTTCCTGATTCACACTCCTGTCCAGGAGGGGGCGGTAATGCACCTCTAAGCTCATTTGAAACTAAAACGAAGAACCCCCCCCCTTCCCCCGAGGTCAAAGCCAGAAATGTTGTTAGAGTGAGTTGCCCGCGTTCATTTGGACAGTGTCTTCATGTTTTCAAAGGTCGACTGTTTTTCTACGATTTTGTGGAAGTATAAATAGGAACAAACTAACGCAGTCATCTGGTTTGGACTTGTTAAAATCCTGTAAGTTATGTTCTGCTCTTGTTAGCTTATCAGCAGATAGCGTTTCTTACTAAAATGTATCGGTTGTCATACCGCTGTGAGGATAAACCGTGTGAAACGTGCTATTACACTCACTAGAAGTTCCCAGATGTATCTAAAGCCGAAAGATTACAGTAGTTAACTGGTTTTACTTTAACTGGTTAGATTTGTTTACACATTCAATCCGCAGATTCGTCATATTTACCGATTGGTCGACTCTGTGTGCAAATCTGTCTCGGAGTTTGACAAGATTAAAGGACTCTCTCCATCTCCAGCTGGTGCAAATGCAGATTTCAATATTATCAATATTATCTGCTGACAACAATGCGATTATTTTAATTTATCAAACAGCTTCCGCTTGATGTCGTACCTCCGTGTTTCAAATCATGAGCTGACATTTTGCCCTCGACACACTCCTGAATAGCTCGACGATGTGTCGAGTTCACCTGCACACACCTGTTCGCTCCGTCAGCTGCTGGTTTAGGAAACACGCCCACGTTTGACATCGGGAGCTTTCTGCTCAGTATAACGAAACATCGCAAAGAATAAAAGCATCTTTGTGAAGTAGCTGTAGTGGGATCAACCTTTTATCTATAAATAGCTAAAATAGCTTTTATTCTCCTAATCAAAATCCCGGTGCCTTGAACTCTTGCAGATTTCTTTTTAATTTGTAAAATAATGCTAATGTTTGTTTCCCCATACATCACCTGGCATAAGTTGTTTTTCACATTACCATCGGCTATCCTAGGCTACCAACAGTGTGTTTCTCAAACCACGATTGCTTCTTAAGATGCTTACATCCAGCTATTTAAGCAGATCAGTGGCAGAGCTATGCTATTGACGTACATTGATACCAATCCAGTCAGTGGATTTCCATCCATCCGGGGCCAAGTCGTGGGGGCAGCAGTCCACTTAGCTATGCAAACATGCCTCATCTTTGATTAGGATTGCTGGACTTCAGAGTGGCTTATATGATTCATACATAACTTCCTTAATTCTGATTCAAAAAGAATAGATGAGATTTAAAAGGAGTGAAGCAGACTGAGCAGCGGATCAGTCAGGATGGTGTGGTAGTCGTACAGCGTTTCTTCTGTGATGAATTTGTTTGGAAATGTTTCCTGATGACACAGTCTTGGACTCTTACAGAGACTTCACTGGATACTGCAGATAATCAGAAGCACGCTAGGATGACCAGTGTAAGTTTGTCAAACAACAGTTTGTAATATTCTCATCTTATTCTGATGTTAATGCTCTGCAGTGATCACCATCACAGAGCACCACTGTAAACACTGAATAACGTGAAATATTTCTTTCTATTTTAAATTTATTGCATAGTTCTCACATTTATGTTTTAGATACAAACATTTGTAATATTATACGAAGATAACCCGAGTAAATACAAAATGTAATTGGGGTATTTTTTTCAACCTGCTGGATAGACGAGTATGTGAATGTGATAACCAGAGAACGAGGTGATGTAGGGAGCTTCAGTTTGATGCCAGACCACCTCTGTTTGTTTTTGAATAAACTTAATAACTGGTTGGACTGTTTGCAATAAACGGCCATTAATGTTTGACATTCCTGTAGAGACACTTTGGAGAATTATTTTAACTTGGCAACTTTAGAGGGTATTTCAGTATGAATGGCCTGTTTAACACCACGCCACAGCATCTTCAGATTAAAGTCTGAACTTTGTCTAAGCACTTCAGTTTTTTTTATTCATTTATTAAAATGGGAATTTTTCACATCACTGTCCTGCTGCATAACCCAAGTGTGCTTGAGCTACAGGGTACAAACTTATGGCTGGACTTCAGGATTGTAGGATTTTCTGGTTGAGAGCAAAATTCATGTATCCATCAATTAACACTACCACCACGTTTGACTGTTGATATGTTTTTTTTCCCTGTTCTCTATATGTAATGAGACCTTCCAAAAGGTTACATTTCTGCCTTGGGACCCTCATGTCATTTTAGCCGAGTCTCTTTTTGTCATTGTTGAAACTCTGACCTGAGGTAGATGAAGCTTGCAGTTCCTGGATGAGTCATTGATCACTCCTGGAAAAACTTTGTTAGAATCCCAAAACCTTTGTATCACTTTCCAAACTGACAGATGACAAGATGAAGCTGTAAACCAGGGGTCTCAAACTCCAGTCCTCGACGGCCGGTGTCCTGCAACCTTTCCATGTGTCCCTGTTGCAACACACCTGAATGCAATTAGTAGGTCATTAGCAAGAGTATAGAACTGAAGTTGCTGAAGTGGCAACCTCTAACCCTACTCAAGTAAATGTAAGTGTTAAGGAAAATACACTTTTAACAGTACATTTATTGCACCATGTTCATTCACTCATGAACTGCTGTAACATGAATGAAATGGCTGAATTGCCACCTCAGCATGCAGTCAGGTTGCTTGCGAATGATCTACTAATTGTATTCAGGTGTGTTGCGTCAGGGACACATGGAAAAGTTGCAGGACACCGGAGCTCGAGGCCCCTGCTGTAAACCTTTGACCATGTAGACCAGGGGTGTCGAACTCCAGGCCTCGAGGGCCGGTGTCCTGCAGGTTTTAGATCTCACACTGGGTCAACACACCTGAATCAAATGATCAGTTCATTACCAGGCCTCTGGAGAACTTCAAGAGATATTGAGGAGGTCATTTAGCCATTTGAATCAGCTGTGTTGGATCAAGGACACATTTAAAACCTGCAGGACACCGGCCCTCGAGGCCTGGAGTTTGACACCTGTGATGTAGACCTTTGGTGGTGTTTCAGGTGTCTGAGTTCAGCATTATTATTATTATTATTATTATTATTATTATTATTATTATTATTATTATTATTATTATTATTATTATTATTGTTGTTGTTAGTAGTAGTATTAGTAGTAGTAGTACCTGAGAGACTGCCATTTACAGTTGTACTGTTTGTTTGCATGTGCAGGTGCTTTGCAGCAGAAGCAGGTTGGTAAGTTACCTTCCAGGGCTCCATGTGTTGGTGTATCGTGTGGCTGGAGGCAGAGCCTTCTCTGCTGCTGATTCTTCAGGCTTAAATGAGCCCGCTTTGGCCACTTCTCACTCTGCTAAAGGTATGGCCTTATTTTAAGTTTATACATTTGAACATTAATTAACTACAACATGTTTTTCTAGTCAGTAATTTAATCTAATGCATCTTATGTATAGATTAGGTATTAGGTATAGACCTAATAACACAAAATAAATTGAGATATACGGAGGTTGACACAGAGTCGTTACCTCGGACTCTGATGAAGTGATATTGGCGTTGACCAAAATTTGTAATTTCTTATTTCTTTGTGTAAACTCAGTTTGTGTGCATGCTACTTTTCTTATGTTGTGCTTAAGGACTGCAGACACTACGGCCTGATGACATAATGGCGCCGTTCGGGCCCCAGGACCAGCGCTTCCTGCTGCCCGGTAATGTGGGCTTTGACTGCCAGCTGGAAGGATTGACAGAGCAACAGAAGAGCCTGACAGACAAAATGCTACCAGATGTGTTGTCTGCTCCATCCTGCTATCAGAAGCATGAGTGGCTTCTAGCCCAGTCTGTTAGAGAGCTCTCTGTAAGTCCAATGAGAACCTTATGAATGTTTTTAATAATCAAAACAAATATGGACCAAACTATGCTGTGTTATTACTACTAATGTTAATCTTGCTACAAATTTCACAAACACTGGTGCAATTAAATAAATGTCAGAGGAATTTTATGTTGAAGTATGTATAGATTATCAATGAATAATCATATGCAGGGATAGCTCAGTAGGTAGAGTGGTTGCCCCATGATTGGAAGGTCGGGGGTTTGATTCCCCTGAACGGCTACCCTGAGGTACCCCTACGTCCCTACACACTGCTCCTCGGTGGCTGCCCACTGCTTCACTGGCTGAATGGGTTAAATGCAGAGGAGTCATTTCCCTACGCGGACTAACACAAGCACGTACACATGTTTAAGATAAAATGATGTGTGACATTTTTTTTATGCATTTTTAATCAGTCAAAAATGAACTTTTCATTGGAGTGTGGTGTGGACTTAGTGGTGCTAACAAGTGTAAAAAATGTAACGCTAGCCAATCGTGGGTGTGACATGATTCATGCAGCCAGACCTCCAGCATCCGTCTGAATATTTTAGAATGAAGAGACATTAAAACAGTGTATGCTGAAACTATATCCAGGTTTTGTATCGTTGGCGTTGTTGCTCATACGCTGAGAGTGGTGACATTCGCTTTTCTGACAGCTGTGTTTTTCTTTCTTAGAACAAGGGCAATCCTGCGTCCTCTGGCAAAGTCAGCACAGCTGAACAGTACTTTGACAACTCGAGAGTAGAGTGTGCCACACAGGCGTGTCCTGAACTCTTAAAGAAAGGTACATCGCTGTAACTGCATCCTTCATACATTTATTTTTCAGCCTTGCATAACTTTGAAATTGCTTGTATTTCTCATGAGAAGCGGTGTTCCTGTCTAATGCGAGTGTTTCCTAATTATAAACAGATTTCCAGTCAATGTTTCCTGAAGCTCCATCCTGTGGTATGATGGTTGTCACGGTTACCCAGAAGACGCAGAACGATATGGCGTCATGGTCTGCTGAGGTGGAAGATGAGAGAGAGCAGATGCTTGACAAGGTTAAATGCTGAGCTGTTTTACATGTCTTACACTATAATAAGACATCACAGGGTTTCTCCCTACATTATCACAGCAAGTACTCAGAATAAATAAATGTAAGTGTTATTTTAGAAACCTTTTACAACAGCTAAGCACTGCAAATATTAGAGGTCTGTAAAAGAAACACTGATGATGAGCTGAAGAGTTTATTAGAAAAGCTGTCCACCTCTGGAGAACTACAGAAACTGCATTATATGAGATGTTACTAATGTTAAAAACAGTAGTAGCACATCCATGTAGTACATCCCATCTGTAGTGTGAAAAGAAGTGAAAATGAAACGGATAATAAATGCGTGAGTTTCATTGAGAAAGGGGAGGAGACACTTTATTTATTTTACAGTAATTAATGAAGTAATTAATGATTGTGGTGTCTGCTGTGTAGTTTGTTGCAGGTGCACGGGAGATCTGCTGTGCGCTGCAGCGAGAAGGATTCTGGGCAGACTTCATCGACCCATCGTCAGGCCTCGCTGTAAGTTATCTCTGACTCTGCCTGTCAACAACTGTTCAGTGTTTTTACGATATTTTATCACAATAACAACAAATGAAATGGCTGATTGGGTGTAGACATCACATGGCATCAAATGACAAAGTATAAATCTGAGAAATATGTTAGAAGCTCATGTTTACATGGAATTAACTCTGAATTAGCCACGATCAGCACAGTCAAGATGCAGGTAGCTGTCTGTGACAGATGCATTTAGGCGCTTTTAGTGATTCCTTTAAATTCTTCTTTTTATCTTCAGGTATTTTGTCTTTGGTGCATACATTTAGATTTATTTGGAGTTTTCTGAAATAAGCACATGATCAAATGTAAACACGTCCATTGGAGGCTGCACCATGATTCTGGTTAGATATTTGGTCACCAGACAGAAGCTGATGTATTTGCTTTTCTGGCACAGGCGTGACTTTGTGCTTAACTTCACATGTTTCAGTAGGTTTGAAGACAGGACATCATAAAAGCTGTTTCTAAGTCCACAGCTAGCTTGGCAGGCCGCTGCCTTTCTGGATTGTTCCACAGTCATTCAGCTGCAGAATAACAAACCTTCAAAGTAACTGTCCCTGGGCTGGTATTTAAGGGTGATTCATTGTGGCAGTGCGCTGTGTGTATAACAAATGTACATTTCTGCAGAAGAAAACTGGTGAAAATTTCTTGGAAGCTGTAATGTTGGCAGGACAAACTTGTGCAGACAGCGGTGTGCAATTGCAACTCCCCATCCCCCCCCCCCCCCCCCCCCCCCCCCCACACACACACACACACACACACACACACTATAGATAGAGACTATTGTTGCTTTTCAGGCGATGGTCTTGATCAGATAACTGTCTCATATTTGTGTGTCCCTTCTTATTTCTCAGTACTTTGGCCCGTACACCAACAACACACTGTATGAGACAGATGACCGATACCGTCACCTGGGCTTTCAGATTGAGGACCTGGGCTGCTGCAAAGTGATCCGACACTCGTTGTGGGGGACACATGCTTTTGTAGGGACAATATTCACCAGCGCACCACCTGATACTCCTACTATGAAGACGTTGCAGGGTAGATGAACACAGGCTCTGGGATACCGAGTGTAATATGCCTCAACACTAACAGAGTGGTTAGTGGTTTTGACCATATCTGTAATCATATTAAAGCTTAAATAATGCTGACACCACAAAGCTTGTGAATGTTTTGTCTTTGAAATTAGTCATTTATAGAATGACCCATTCAATAAATGAATAACCGTTGTATTAATTACCTTGGCTGCCCTTTTAACCGCAGTTGTGTTAAACCATTTTTCTGCTGTACTTGGTAGAGTTTGAAGATATTGCGCTGCTGCACAAAGAGACAAGTTCTCAGAAGATAGTTTTCCGGTTTATCAGCCTCAATTTTTCTTAAGAAAAACACGAGCATCCTCAGTGAGAAGTGAACTCATTTTACAGTTAATGTTGAACTCCTTTCTAATCCTTGAAAATATTTTAGAATCATCACTGGACTGACTTGTTGATCCCACCATAAGATGAGCCGTCTTGTTTTTGTGGCACAATCTTGAAAAATGAAATTTAAGGATTAAAATGTGCTGAAATGTTGACATAAGTAAAGGTAGAAATAGTTTAACTGTAAACTCTAAGATGTTATGCAAATATTATGCAAAATGATTAGTATTTTTTAGATAAACATTGTTTTGTTTTCAAGATTGCAACAATGATGAGTAAAATAAACCAATTAACAAAATTAAATCGTTAAGATAGTATTTCATTATCTTTACCCTCTGAAATGTAGGTACTGAAATATCTACTTATTGCAACCAAGTACTGATGGCTAAATCAAGCTTGTATTGAAAAAAGCTTTATTACTCGAAGCTTTTCAACACAGCACTTTTTGGTGACATCTAGTGGCCGGTAATGAAGAGCAGCTTGAGTCTACAAAATGAATAGCTTTATCAGGATTGCCCACTCTACCGAGCTGACAGCTTCAGTTTAATATCACGTGACATGTCTGTGTGATACCGGACTTGGTGCCTTGTGAATGTTTTTGGGTGAAAATCTATGTTCTGTCTATTTGATTCATAAATAATTTTAATGAATAAACTTCCCTTGTTTAAACATGTGCCATGCTGTGTTCTCTCTTTGCTTGTGACTTGATGTTTTGTATCAGTAGATAAAAAAATAAATAAAAATAAAAATACATTGTATATAATATTTTACAACACGATCTTATACTAGGTTGGGAGCTGGGACTAATACCCCCGTGCTGTAGAGCCTCCCTGAACTGCCCCTCCACTGGCGGATCTAGAAAATTGTATTTAACCAGTGGACAGGCGCAATTATACAGGGTGGGCCATTTATACGGATACACCGTAATAACATGGGAATGGTTGGTGATATTAAAGTCCTGTTTGTGGCACATTAGTATATGTGAGGGGGCAAACTCCTCAAGATGGGTGGTGACCATGGTGGCCATTTAGAAGTCGGCCATCTTGGATACAACTTTTGTTTTTTCAATAGGAAGAGGGCCATGTGACACATCTAACTTATTGGTAATGTCACAAGAAAACAATGGTGTGCCCTTCTCCCCCGTCCCTCTTCTCAGCTGTTTCTCTTTCCCTCTTTCTTTCTCCCCTTCTTTCCCCCAGTCAAGTCTGTCCCGTATTCAGTAAGTGAAAATAAAATAAACAATAAAAGGTGAATCAAATGGAAAAAAAAAGAGAATAGTACCTGCCAAAAAGGATTGCTAGTCCCTTTCTAGATGTTTTCTTTACGTCTTTATGGTAAATATGAAATATGCTACAATAACGCAATTGATAGCATCAGAGCATAACTTTGGCAGATTTTTTGGAAAGCATCACATTTTCAAGAACAATCTGGATCCGTTTTTATCTCTCTTGACAGTACTCATGCTGCAGATTAGCTACATATAAATATACATGATACAAATGACACAAGGGGCAAATGATTTTCAACTAACTTGAAAGGAGATTAAAAAAATGGATAACATGTGTTGCTCAGGTGCTGGGCAAACTGTTTCCCTGCTTAAAAGAAAAGAGAGAAAAAAAAAAGAAAACAATGGTGTGCTTGGTTTCAACATAACTTTATTCTTTCATGAGTTATTTACAAGTTTCTCTTTGTTCACAGCCATTGACATGTCGAGGAGCGGATCAAAATTGTAACTGGGTCATTGCAGCAGATTTCAATGCAAGACACCCTACAAGACCACCCATCTCCCATGCTACAGTTAGCAAACTGCTTGCTAAGTTTCGTGAAACTGGTTCAGTGTTGGATTTGCCAAAATGTGGACGCAAGAAAACTGTCACTGATGAAGAAACATCAGTGGCTGTCCTAGCTTCATTCAGCAAGAGCCCACAGCGTAGCACTCGCCGCATGTCACTGGAGAGTGGCATTAGTCAAACATCCCTTCAGTAGATATTAGCTACTCACAAATGGCACCCTTACAAACTCCAGCTACTGCAGCATCTCAACGAGGATGACCCAGATCGGCGCACAGAATTTGCAGAATGAACAAAACAAAAATTGGAACAGGACCCTCAGTTCACGCAGAAGATTTTGTTCAGTGATGAGGCAAACTTTTATGTGAATGGTGTTAACAAACAAAACCACCGCTATTGGTCTGACACTAACCCACACTGGATGGATGCCTCCAAGACTGTTGGAACAACAAAAGTGATGGTTTGGTGTGGTATATGGGGTACAACGATAGTGGGTCCATTCTTCATCAATGGAAACCTCAAGGCCACTGCATATTTGAAATTGCTACATGATGATGTGTTTCCCTCTTTATGCACTGAAGCTGGCACGTTCCCTGAGTTTTTCCAGCAAGATGGTTCACCACCACATTATGGGTGCAGGTCCGAGCATTCCTAGACGAACAGTTTCTGGAAAGTGGATTGGTCGTCGTGGGCCAGTTGAATGGCCCCCAAGGTCTCCCGATCTGACCCCCTTAGACTTTTATCTTTGGGGTCATCTGAAGGCAATTGCCTATGATGTGAAGATACGAGATGTGCAGCACCTGAAACTACGGATACTGGATGCCTGTGCTGGCATTTCTCCTGCGGTGTTATTATCAGTGTGTGAAGAGTGGGAGAAGAGGGTTGCATTGACAATCCAACACAATGGGCAGCACATTGAACACATTTTATAAATGGTCAGAAACTTGTAAATAACTCATGAAAGAATAAAGTTACATTGAAACCAAGCACACCATTGTTTTTCTTGTGACATTACCAATAAGTTAGATGTGTCACATGGCCCTCTTCTTATTGAAAAAACAAAGGTTGTATCCAAGATGGCCGACTTCTAAATGGCCACCATGGTCACCACCCATCTTGAGGAGTTTGCCCCCTCACATATACTAATGTGCCACAAACAGGACTTTAATATCACCAACCATTCCCATGTTATTGCGGTGTATCCATATAAATGCTTCTCCCTGTATATAATATACTATACCTTATATAATTATAACTATGTGGGTTTTAGACCTGGGCTTAGAATGGCATATGAACTTGTTTTTATTTATGAAGAAGCAGAACGTCCTCCCTCCCTCGCTGTATGTCATTATGTTGCACACTGGATCGCCTTCTCCACCCAAACACAACATAAATCCGGCCAACGATTCACTTCCTTATAAACCATTGAATCAGGTACTGGAGCTGTGACGTGCTAAATAAATCTTCGGACGTCATTGTTCACTTGGGCGCTGTCTATTTTTTGGCACATGAGCTGGAGCTTCAGCTTCACATCGCTACTTTGAGGTTTAATCATTGTGTGCGTGTGTTTTAGATATTGTGTTAGGGATTTTTAACTCTGGTCCTGCTGTCATCTGTAGAGTTTACTCAAGCTCAAAATGAAATATCCCATGTGAGTTTGAATTATTATTTTTCACAAGATTATTATTATTATTATTATTATTATTATTATTATTATTATTATTATTATTATTATTATTATTATTATCGTGAGCTGGTTTTAGCCCTGAAGCAAGCTAGACAGGGTCATCTGAACACGAGCGCGAGAGAGCGATGATGACGTCAACGACAGCCCGGGCAAGCCCAGCTGTGAGCGCGCGCGCGCGAGTGTGTGACAGTTCGTCGCCTGCTTTCGTACAACAAGGAAGTGGAGGGTATGTCACTGAAGGGAAACCTGCAACGAACGTGAAGCGCTAGTTTCCCCCTCCGAGGTAAGCCCCTGAGCAGCTATGGTGTGTTTGTTTGCAGTTGGATGTCTGCTGCTGTCACAGTTGTAGCGGTTTAGCTAGCAGTCTTTACAATGAATCGGAAGCTCGGCTATATTCACCTTGCTGTCTCCCACAGGATCAAAGGGCTACTCCGAGACGTTGGAGGCTCTCGTTTTTGCCTTTGTTAATGGTTTACAGATAACAGGGCGGTTTTGATATAGCTACAAATAGGAAGGGAAAATATCGCCAAATCTCACAGTCGGTGCATTAGCCCGTTTCTCATCAGTGTCCGAGTAAGCTTTGCCGGGGGCCGACGTGTTGAAACGCAAGACTGCCACACATCTGTTCGACCAACGCCAGTTGATCTAAACGCCAGTAGATCTGGAACACCGGAAGCACGTTCTCCTTTCTGGCTATATTAATTTCTTTCAAGGAAGCAGAAACGGTGACCGCGCTGTTAGGAGAGTTGTGCCTGTATAGTTGGATGTTAAAATGTCAGAAGATTGTTAAACCTATATCATGTGATATTGATGTCACTTGAGATTTGTGAGTGTTTTTGGTGATTGTGATTATGAAAGGCTAGTAACTAATCGAGATCTCGGAAGTGAAATACATTGATTGCTTTGTTGTAAGTGAAGATGCACTCCCATTTAAATATCGGTTTTCTGGGTTTTCCGATCACTCAAAAAAGTAGTCTGACATGTCATGACATGACTACTTTTTGCTTTCTGTTTCGGGAAATCGTCTCTCTGACGATTCTTTACAGACCTTTGCATCTTCATCAGCTTCATCTCATACATTCTGCATGCAGAGGTGGATGATGACAGTTCTCTGCATTGTTTTTCTTGCCCAGTTGAGGCACTGTATCCACTGTATCCTGAATCATCCCAGTGTGATGCGAGTGAATATTCTAATAACCACTTCTCGTGTTCTTGTCTTCCATATCTGGTAAAGCTAAGAGTCTTAAGTGCCATCTCCTTTTGGACCTGGCATTCTCGAGGCACCTTTCCTTTAAGAATTTTACCTGTGTGTTGGCAACGCCTGGCAGAGCCCCAAGTCTGTAAAATCTTCAACTCCCACCTCTGGCAGAACCTCGACAGCATTCTGGGGGGAGGCTGGGCACATGAAGACCTTGTTGTAGACCATGTTCTGCAACTCCTTTGCTGAGGCGGCTGCAAGGTGGTTGACCATCATGGTGGTAACCAACCCTTAACTAGAGGTCAAACCTGTAGTTCGAGGATTTCTAACATCTCTTTGAAGGGAGCAGTCAAGTTGGAGTCCTATTGGCTTTTCTCAGCCTGTAGGACTTAGGAAGCAGCTGACAGATACTGGCAGGCCAATTCCACTTCCACACCTGAAGCAAAAAACTCAGGCGTGGAAGGAGTTTGGGGAGGCCATGGAAAAAGAATTTCGGCCTGCCACAAAACTATTCTAGCAAACTGTCAAGTGACTATGGAAGGTAAAGCACGGTGTATGATGGGGGCGAGGTGTTGCTGACCTCAGGATACTGGGTGTCTGGCTTGTTACTACGAGTCATTTGATCCCTGTATAACCATTGCAGGAGCTTGGTCTGCATTGCCAGCAATAAGTCATACTCATTCTTGCACACGTGTTTTACTCTACCAGGGCTGTCCTGGTGTCCTGTTACAGAGTCTGTTCATAGTTTTTAGAGAAGCTTTTATGTGAGTATGTGAAGTGGATGATGATAATAATAATATAATAATGATCCATTAATATTGCCCAGCCCTAGTACAGAGTATTATTATATCGTTGAATGTTCAGCCACAGAAAAGGCTTGAAAATCGCCCTGTGACCTATCGCAAAAGTATTTTTTTATGATCAAACTAATAATTTTATAGGTCTACAATTTGCCAGTTTTCCTATTAAAAAGTGTATCATCACCCTTGAATTTTGTTCTGGAAAATCAGAGGTGGTCAAACTGGGAATTTTTGTGAAATTTGGTAAATTAATATGGAATGACCCACGTGTCCTCCTGAAGTCAAGTTGACCAACTCAGTGGACTGAATGGGCTCACACATACTCGTTAGCAGCTCAGAGTTTGTTTGTGAGGTAGTATGAAGCTGCGGACCACATCTGAATTAAGCTGTGCAGTAAAAACATGTCATATTGTAAACTAGGCTTTTTCTTGCCCTCTTAATATCTTTATTATTATTATTATTATTATTATTATTTATTATTAGCATTATCTCTTCTTCACTGTTCTATTCATCCTTTCAGACTGCTGACATCTTCCAACCAGCTCCATGGCTTTGTGGATCAGCTGACTGTAGTTTCTTTTGAAGATGGATATGAACAGAGACAGCAGGGCCATGTCTGCATGTACTTCATGATTTCCTTCAGCGCGAAGAGATTTGAATGCTGAGCCCTCATTAGCTGCCTGTTAGTGGGATTGTCCATACCTGTGTTCAAACATGGCTCCTGTTCCTCCAGGGGTCCGCCTGCTGGTGTCCTTTGACAGGGACCAATGGTGAGTTTAAATTGGACTGGCTGTCTAAAGGTGCTATTGACATTAAATTCTGACCAGATGTTGGTAACAACCCACCCAGTCCACAGATGTAAAGAAATCAAACCATAGATGGCCATAAATTATATGTAATAATGAGAAGTGGAACAGGGAAATAGTACAGAAACACATAAAGAAAGAAAGGTGCAAAAAGGCCTGGAAAGATTTTACCAGCTGAAATCTATCAGTAATTACAAAACTAACCTCTCACTTAGTGCAAATTAATATCAACTGGTTCAGTCCCAACTGGCGAGCTCTCATTACCAAGGTGTCACACAAGAAACATCTCATACTGGACAAAACCAATGGAGAGCTCCAGAAATATCTAGAACCAGCAGGCATGATTGTTTCAAAGAAAACAATAAGTAATGTCACATTTGCGGTGGGCTGTATGCAAGCTCACATACGTGACTGCACTGCTGAGGAAAAAGCATGTTGTGAACTACTGAGAGAACATAGTGTGGTCAGATGAGACTAAAATGAAACTAATAGCAACGCATGAGACAGTTTCCTCACACAGGAAGTGTGTTGAAGCTGTCATCACCAACAAAGGCTTTTGTATGAAGTATTAAATGCATTTCACTAAGCGTGAGTATTACATTATTACACATAATTTATGGACTGCTATGGTTGGATTTCTTTGCATGTGTGGATTGGATGGGTTGCTACCAACATTTAGTGATAATTTAATGTCAATAACATCTTTAGAGATATATTTACTTAGAAATTTGGTGACATATTCAATATTTATTTTACTCGCTGCATACGTTGAAACCGATCTTTCTGATCACCCTGTAAAGTTTACTGTACAAGGTCGAGCAGTCAGTTTCTGCCTCTTTGACGTAGTAGTTGGCCGTTGAGGCTGCAGCCGGCCAAGTGGCATTGTTGGAGCTGCGTCAGCAAAAATTCCCGGCAGGTAGTTTTACCTGTGCTTACACCTAGTTTCACATACCTGATGCTTTGTGTAGACTCGACTTTCAGGTTTCTGAAAATATGTTGGAATGTTTGTTATTTTTGGTTGTGATTGATTTATTTATAATATTTTTGTTGAAAAGATTTTTAAAAATCTTTCCATAATGCTGAATAAGCAGAACAGCAGGAACTTTGATCTCTTTCTTTCCTTTTCCTTTTTTTTCTTCTTTTCTTTTTTTAAGAGATCAGGATTTTTTTAAAGTAGGCTTTAAGTTGTTTGGGCTCATCTTTGGCCTGCATCCAGAAATATCATCTAAGTAGTTACGTTGGAATGAACAGGAACAAACCCATTTTTTGTTATCCTGACTTTGATTTAACAATTGATTTATTAACAAACGTGTTCAATAATTTTTCAGCAAAAGCAGGAGGGCACAGACTTCATAGGAAACATATCTTATTTAATGTTTCTGAAACATCCGAAGTTTTCTTTCTACTGCATGACAAATGCAGTAATAAGGTACACGTTTAAGACATTTGACCCTGTGTTTGGGTTTGTAAAGGTTACATTAGTTACACTGTCTTCACTAAGCCTTTGAAAAGTTATAGTGGGATTTTGTTTTTTTACTTACTTGTGTGTTTATATAACTTAGATTAATTGTGCACTCCTCTGTGAACAGCTAGTGCGTTGGTCCCGGCCACCTATTATAAATGACCAATTTAGGGTAACACTGGTGATACAGAAAGGGGCATTGATGTGACACTCCATGCGTTAAATGTAGGGGTCATTAATCATCAGAGCAGCTGGTAGGAAGCACAGCTGCTCTGCTCATCTACAAGGTTGAAACTGTTGGTGGAAGTGGTTGTTATTCACTTGAGCTACTTGTAATTCAGACTGCTGTGCACTGGATATATCTAGCTTTTATTATTTGAAGGAAAAAAAAGACAAATTGTTGCCCACTATGTTAGTTCAAGAATGAATCAGGTTTAAACATAGAAGTCATCTCATTTATCAGGCCATCAGACTGCTGAACACGTCATAGACACCTCAGCTTCACTACTGGAACTTCAACATTATGCACTCCACACTGTATATAAATGCCACTTGTTTTGCACATATTCAACTCTGTATATTTGATATATTTTATTATTATTATTATTATTATTATTATTATTATTATTTTATTTTATATTTTTACTATTTAATTTGTAAAAATGTGTATACACACACACACACACACACACACACACACACACACACACACACACGTAGGAAAATATTTAGTATACACATCCAGAAATGCATACACTATTATATATTGTACATATATTTATTAGTTTCAGGTTGGCCATTCTTGTATTTTGCTCGTTTGTGTTGTTGTGTTTGCACATCTCTGTTGCTTGTGGGGCTCGCACACAAGAATTTCACTCGCATGTGCTGTGCCAGTGTGCCTGCACATGTGATGTGACAATAAAAAGTGATTTGATTTGATTTGATTTGATTTAAATGTAGCACACATTTTGGAGGAGTTGTTAGGTCTGTTGGTCCTAAACTTTGGGAGAAGCAACCTGTCACTGAGCAGACTCCTCGGGTTGTTTGCACTGAGAGAATTGCACATATTGCACATTGTTCAGTGTTTTGTTGCTACAATGATAATAATGATTCTGATTCTGTGGATACTTTCCAGACGCACTGTGATTCACATCAGGAACATTAATGTCTTATGTTACCCTTGAACATTTCTCTTCATACAGTTATCATCTTATATGTCTTAGTGAGACGTTTGCAGCCTAACACACCTGGTGGTTTGTGAGCACTTTGTATCTGTCAGGTTTCAAGCTGCTTTGTCAGATGATGGATTTGGTCACCCTGCTGTACCCAGGATGCACTGCTGCAACATACTAACCACATGCTGTCCAACTGCTGGATAAGAGTGTATCTAACTTTTTCTCGGCCCATTTTGAGTTTCTGCTGCACAGCCTGGTAAAGCCAACCATAGTCTGTACTGCGGGTCAAATGAAATGTGGATTTTGGGCACAGCCACACCTTCTCTCACGTCTTATTTGACTGCATTTGACTTTCTGTCTTGAGCCAGCCTCTGCTTAGAAATGACCTTACACTCAAGTCAGACGTGTGTGAGCAAAGACGAGCGTAAATATGACTGACGTAACGCAAACAGTAAAGTACACAATCCAGGTACAGGATATCAGGATTCTATTACAGGATGTAATAGAATTTGTTGGCTCCTCCTGCTTATTGTAACACATGATACATTTAATCAGTTGATGCCAGGTCTCTCTTGGAAATGAGATTTTTAATCTGCCTAAATATTTCACAGTACTTTTGCCTTTTTATTTACATATGTTGTAGCGTTGGTCAGCTAGGTTTGGGGCATCAAATCAGTTTGCAACATTTCCTTGTAGGGCCACAAAATGTCTGCAGTGAACCTTTGTGCATTTTACAGTTTGAGATGTGGACTTTCTTAGTAAAATAACATCTAAAAATACAACAACTGCAACAATGTTTAAACTTGGGCTGGGCGGTCGACTCCATAGGCTAATGCTAGATGACTGATACTGTTACTGCCGCCAATGACAGTCACCAGTCACCAGACTGGGCGAATAGATTCATGTATAACCATTAGAGTAGCACTTTCACTCTCCTCCACCACAAATGTAAGCACACTGCACACAGTGATGCCTGATTTACCGTTTCCATGATAACTTAACATAAGCTGACAAATATCATCCAACAGCTAATATAATAATAATAATATGTTATAACAATTACGTGTTCTTTATTGTATTGTAAATGTGCTCACTTATTAAGTCCATTTTTTTAAATTCACTCCAACCAGCCAGCTACTGTATACATGGTGTTTTTCATCCTGTCCATCTCTAAGCGCACTGTACCCTTGTTCTTCAAACAGTCTATTATTAAACAAAGAAGAGAAATGGCCAAGTTACCTGCACCTCTCCACCCTCATCCCCAACAGTCTGAAGAAAGGTTTGATACTCTGCTCCTCCAGACCACATAGGCCAGATACTGAACTCCACATTGCCCCATCAAGGTGTGAGTTTGTTGGTAACAGCTAGAAAGCATTTAAGCACAAAATAAAGCACTGTGACACTGTTACTCTCACAGCAGGGGGCTGTGCTACATGAACACAGCCCCAACATCCTTTTGTTAAGTATAATTTCCCTGGGGGAATTCAAAGTTGTGAGTTTGGTGTCAGTTACATCTTTTTTGTAGCCCACTGTATCTGGGGTAGTGCAGATGACTCATAATTATGGACATCTCAAACCTGTGATCTCCATGTTATGAGCTCCCTCATTTCTCAGAGCTGCCTTCCTGTGTGCTCTCCCTTCAGGTACAGAGCTCTCACCTTCATCCTAACCTTCTTGCTCTACACCAGTTTCCACCTGTCCAGGAAACCAATTAGTATTGTCAAGGTAAGATATGGTATTCCAGAAACAGTACATGGCATTAATGATTGTACTAATAGGTGCTGCACTGTTGTGCGATGTTTGTACACTGCTCCAAAAGATTAAAAGAATACTTTGAAAAAATAGCAAATCTCAGATGTTTGTAGCAATTATTTATATGTCAAGACCTCCGTATAAAATAAACTCATCATTCCAGTCTGTGCTCCATCACAGCTTGTTTACAGCCTTCGCTGGTTACGACCAGCTGGTGTACATTGTCCTAATAAACACCCGCAGCCTTGGGCTCTGTCCAAATCTCCCCCAAAGAAAAGAACAGGAGAAAGCTAAAAGAGGTAGCAAAGGAGCTTGATTTGTAATCCCAGTAAGAAAGAACACTGAACTGGAATGGATGCAGTCTGGACCCGGGACAAATTTATGAAAGAACTCAATGCAGAAAATCAACGGAGGTGGGACAAAGACTGAGTAGACGCTGAGTGGTGTGCTCTACAGCAGCGGTCCCCAACCTTCTTGGCATCACCGACCGGTTTAATGTCAGACAATATAGTCACGGACCGGCCTTTAAGGTGTTGCAGATAAATACAACAAAATAAAATTATACTACCGAGACAAAAACGGTGGTATTCTGTAAATATAATAATAAACGTGAATTCACTGTGTAATAACTTTATTAGCAGCGTCCTCCTGAAATGCACCAACAACATTGAGAGTAACATCCTCCTCTCTGCCCCTTAATGCTCTCTGGTCGCTATGGTAACGCATAAATATTTCTTTCTCTACTGCGACCATCATGGAGTCAGGGAGAAAAGTTACCCAATCATAGTAAAGACCCCTGTTTCTTCTTCCTGTGTTTTCTGTGTGGCTTAATGGTTTTGTGCTTACAGAGTGAGCTTCATAAGAACTGCTCAGCTGTCAGTGAAGCAGCCATCATTGCATCCAGCAGCAGCCAGCAGCCCTCCCTGCTATCTCTCCACACAGATGTCGACTGCGGCTGGAAACCTTTTGGTCTGTCTTATCTTGAGATGTTTTCATCTTTTTAGAATGTTTATAATGTTACAAGTTTACACTAAAGCATCATCAGCAGCAGGTTTCTTAATACTCATGCATGCAAAACAGAGATGAATGTGTCGAGCAATTAGTAAAAACTCGCAGATAAACAAAACCTGCTGTGCTGTCCTGAATTAAACACCTGTTCCCCATATTTACAGATAAAAGCAATTACAAACAGCTGCTGGGAGCCATGGACTACTCCTTTCTGTGTGCTTACGCAATTGGAATGTACTTGAGGTAAGATGGCAAGGTGTGGAGGAGGAAATGATTTTACACAGTAAACGTGAACTGGTGATGAAGAGAGAAGGCCGCAGCTGGCCAGTGGATTTGAATAAGGCACCTTCTTGCTATGAGGCAGCAATACTAACCATCTGCCACCCGCCGTTATTAGTTGGATTATTAAACTTTTTTTCTCTCAGTAACTCTCAAATATTTAAACTACTTTATGTGCTGAAATGTGTGATGGTTAATATGATGTCATCACTGTGCATCCATCTAGCGGCATTATCGGGGAGCGCCTGCCCATTCGTCTGTACCTCACAGTGGGCATGCTGGCCAGCGGTGTGTTCACTTGCCTATTCGGGCTTGGCTACATCTACAACATCCACAACCTGAGCTTCTATATATTTGTCCAGGTGAGGTGCAGGATGATCATTTTATAGGATGATATGTTCATTTACACCGCTCAAAAAATTAAAGTAACACGTTAACACACATCAGAGCTCAATAGTAAAGAAAAAGAACATCAGATATGTCTGTACTGATATAGACTGGGTATGAATAGGAATTAAAAGACTTCGTTTGATGAAAATGACAATTATAAACCTACAGAGGGATAAATTTAAAGAAACAATGAAAGTGAAAAAAGTGTAAAAATAATGTGGCAGGCTAGTCCACATCAAGGCCTGCTCCTAATGAAGCAGTGGGTGATATCCTGGGCATCTCATGCCAGATGTGGACCTCACTGTCAGCAGCACTGAGCTGCTGGACGGTGAGGTACAACCTCACATGACACTGACTTGGCTCAGAGACATTACTACGACTCCTACTTTTACAAGGACTCTCCAGCACACATAGGAGTGTAAGTGGATATGCACACGAAAATGCACAATGACAGGTTTATGTAGCAATAAACTTGCCATTGTGTATGTTTATACAGAGGAAGTGCACATGTGACCCTGTAAGGAATGCATAACAACAAACTGTTCTGCACAGTGATTCACCTTCTTGTCATTTTGCAGGTGGCCAATGGCTTGGTTCAGACCGCTGGTTGGCCTAGTGTAGTGACCTGTATCGGCAACTGGTTTGGAAAAGGAAGGTAATGTCTAAGAATTCCTGGCTGTATAATGCACACTGGCTGTTAGCAGAACAAAAGAAATAAAAAGTTGGACTTTATGACCGAACAAGATCCATCCATCTATTTTCTTCCACTTAGCCAGGGGAACTCACATTAGCATGTCAGTGAAGAGATATAATCTCTCCAGCATGTCCTGGGTATACCCTGAGGCCTCTTCCCAGTATGACATGCCTGGAACCCCTAACTCAGAAGGCATCCCAGTCAGATGCCCAAACCACCTTAACTTTCCATGTGGAGGAGAGCAGCTCTACTCTGAGCCCCTCGAACTGCTGCGCTCTTCACCCTGTCTCTAAGGGAGAAGCCAGCCACCCTTCAGAGAAAGCTCATTTCAGCTCGTCTGCACAGCTGAAAAGAGCAGAAATATCTGTCCATAGGAGTTAAATAGCAATTGATCTTTGAATACATGTCCTTACTTTAGTCATGTCTTAACTGCTTCAACTGTGGGGGCATTCGGAGGGTAAAACTCTTTCCAAATATCCTGGGATTTCCTTACCTGGAAAGTTCAGCATGCATAAAAAAAAAACCAAACAACTGCCCAAATACTTGTGGAGCAGACTGTGTCTCTGTCAGCGTCAGCACTGTATGAACCGAAGGTCTCTGTTTCTGAGTCAGGCGTGGACTCATCATGGGGCTGTGGAACTCTCACACTTCAGTGGGAAACATCTTGGGCTCTCTGATTGCCGGCTACTGGGTCTCCTCCAACTGGGGCATGTCCTTCATCGTACCAGGGCTCATCATCATCATCATGGGCGTGGTTTGCTTTCTCTTTCTCATTGAGCGTAAGTACAGCTTCATCATGTTTTTCTGATGAGTGTTATAAGGAGTTTCTTGTTTTTCTAAGCGCACACATTCATTGCTCAAAGAATGCTTGCTATCAAATGAAATGAATGCATTTAGATTCAGTTAGCTGAGGCAGGCTGCTTCCTGTGATTGTCTTTTCAGTACGTTGGCTCTTTGAAGAATGGACTTTATAGCTGTAAATGGATTATGTTGTATTAACCTGATGGCACTGTTTTCATTCTTCAGATCCTAATGACCTAAAAAACATCTATACACAAAATTCATCTCTAGGCAAGACTGTAAGTACACAATTTTTGTTTGTTTTAATTTCTTATAATGAAGACTAGTTTGGTTCATTAAGCATGAATAATATTTCAGTGTAATATTAACTCTGTCATTTATAATTAAATGTGGAAATGAAGGAAAAAGTATTTTATTTTTATTTGCATTATCAATCAGCAGCCCTGTTTAGCTGTGAATGTCTCTCTTTGATTAGGTCCCAAGCAAGAGTTGGAATGGAGTGAACGGACACACAGAGGTGTATCTACAGTACAAGGACAACAAAAATCAGGTGTGTCTCACAGTTTAACTTAAAACTGAGATTATTTACTGTACTTACTGTAAGGCCACGCCTTATTCCATCACACATCACATGGTCATGATGGATAACCAATCCTACGCACGCACCACTGAACTAATCACCAAGTATGTTGTGTGTGTGGACTGCATGTACTGTATTTCCAAACATCTATCATCGATCAGACTAGAAGATTACAAGATTATAAGCTTGTAATCTTTTTTGCTTTACTCTAGAACAAAATCAGCCTTCTGTCCATGTTCAAATAAAACTTTAATACTTTGTCAGTGAAAAGTTTCTAAGTGGCACATTTCAGACTGTTGAACAATAAACTGTACAGGCCACATTTTGGAAGCAAGAAATGAATTTCATGTGTGCATCTAATAGGACCGATTGTCATGCAGCACCACAGAAACATGTTCTATTATGTCATTGTAATCCATTCAGGTCTGCTATTATTACAAGGATAGTATTCAAAACAGGAAGGTCAGTTCTTCAGAGATCTCTGCTGGTGGTCAGAGCTTTGGATGCTGGGTGAAATCACTGCTAGGCTGAATCCAAATGTCTGGACATGAGGAATGACTGGAGCGCTGAAGAATGCTCAGGGTGAACTCGTGTTTTAACCACTCTACTAAGGAGGCAGAAAGGGTCAGCATTAAAGGTGATGGGGGGTTGCAGTCAAGCACACTCTGACTGCAACAAGGAGCTCTGACTGATGACCATGATTTTTTTTAGTATTAATGTAAGGAGATGTTTGAATTTAAATATAGTACTTATCCACATCTGTACAGTGTCATCAAAGCGAGTCCTACCCTGCAGAGCACAGTGTGTCTGCACAGACTTAGTTTTAGAAAGCAAGTCTGCAAATATGAGAAAAATCAGGACATTCGGATTCAGCCGCAGGGTTTCTATTTTTCTCCTTTTTTTTTCTCCTTGTTTGGAAGGTAGTTGGGCGAGGTTTTCCAGCTCCTGTTCTCTCAAAACTTATCAGTGGGAGTTTTATCCTTAGGTCCTTTACATGAATGCACTGCTGGCAAACATCTACAGTATAACACCAAACTGCTGACATAATCGTACAGTTATACTTCACATACATGGTGACACGACGTGTGTTGGTCTGTACCATCTGAAGGGGAGAAATATTCCTTGGTTATTTAATTAGAAAGGAGAATCTTTCAATAATTGGTCTTAAATTGCAGGTTGACTAAGTTCACTCTTTTCCATTTATTTATTTATTTTTGTAATTTTATTTATGAAACAAAAGTCCAGTCTAAGTACTGTCAGTGCTGACCCCTCGGGGTCCCCTTTGTTCTTCAGCTGTCCGGTGGTCTGGGTATGGGTACAGATCTTTGCTCTGCTCTCTCCCTCAGAGCTACGACACAGAGCTCCTGTTGCCTAGAGAGAGCGAGCGCATCCCCATGCAGCCGGTTGTGGTGGTGAAGAGTGAGTCGGAGCCGTCTGCCATCAGCTTCATGGGAGCGCTACGGATACCTGTGAGTCACACGTGCGAACCTGTGTCCATCACCTGCGTCACTCTGATGCTTTCACTGCAACAAAGTCTGACCAAGTCTCCTATCAGGCAAAAGTCTTGTGATGTTGTTTTAAGAGTGATGCTCTAAGTAAGAGCAGGATGTGTAAGATTGTTGTGTAAGTGCTTTAAGATAGAAAATCAATTCAGAAGAATCATCTTGTTTAGTTGCTCTGGTTTTTAGATCTTTTCTCTCAAAGTGAGAAAGAAACAACACTGAAAGGCTTATATTTGGACAGCTTTTGGAGCGATTAGCTTGCAGTTATCTGAGTTGCAAGCTGAGGCAGATCTAACGTAACTTATGAAGTAAGTCTGATTACTGTGTGCGTTTGTTTGTCTGCAGGGAGTGGTGGAGTTCTCTCTGTGTCTGCTGTTTGCTAAGCTGGTCAGCTATACTTTCCTCTTCTGGCTGCCGCTCTACATCACCAAAGCAGGTGAGGAGCAAATAGAAACCCGTCAGGCACGACTTCATGCATAGATTTTGACTGTGGATTAAAAAAACAGATTACATTGACAGACGTCCAATATGTCAAAATTTATACGTTGGCTATCTGAAGCAGGACACTGAATTATGATTAAATTGGCAAAAAAAAAATCTGCAAAAATATTGGCCAACTGAGAGACTGGAGTAGTGTTTACAGCCGTATTGATCCTGTCAAAAAACATGACATCAGTCAACAGAAACATTTGAACTTCATTTATTGTCATTGTACAGTGAAATTAGCCAACAAGACCACAAAGGTGCAAGAAAGTGACAAGTTTAAAAACAACAATATAAAAAAAACACTATTTACACAATGTATAAGATACAAGAACATTGTGAGGGCGTAGATAAGGCATCATTTAACAAGTAAGGGTGAAGGCGCTCTAGTCATTAAGATGGTGAAACTGTTGGGTAGGATGATAATTGCACATCTGCCAGCATATTGCACAGGACACACACAGCTGCAACAGAATGACTGTAAGGGAGGAGTCTGCTCAGCCACACACACACACACACACACACACACACACACATTACCATAAGTTCAAAGTTTGGCTACTGTGCTGCAATTTAATACATACTAGATGTGTTGTTAAAAACAATAGGTCATACTGATAATGTCCTGTAGGTGTGAGAGCAGACAGTCAGCCAGGTCCTTACATAAAGTGAACAGTTTTTATGAGCCTGGTTTGGTCAACAAAGGCCAGTTCACACTGGAAAAAGAGAAATCTATAGGACTGTGTGAAGATGGATTCATTTTGGTTTCTTTGGGTGCTGCTTGAAACTTGTTTTTGTTACTCAACGACCAATGAGCTTATGAATGGGCAAGGCATTAAAACCCTCCACAGCTGTTAAGACTCGTCCCAGAGTGTTGGTCAGTGAAACAAGATTAAGTTGTTCTGAAGATGAATGCAAGCCTCCTCGACTTCTCATTGTTTGTGCAGTACAGCCAGCAGTGGCAACAAAACGTTCTTTCAGTCCTTAAACATGTGAACTGTGGTGGACCTTGAGCTTCATGAGTTACTGTGACCTTCTGGTTTCATTTGTAATTAATCCACAGAAACATTGTCAGCATGTAATATAACATAGTTAAAGACTTTTCTATTGTCTGTTTGTAATGTAGTAACTGGGTTATGTAGATATAAAACCAGTATGTTAAACTGAAAGAGGCTGATACAGAGTGTGGCAGAGTTGGACAGGCTTCTCACAGATCACGGAGCAGATGTTTTGTCCTCAGGATATTCTACAGTGAGCAGTCCACTCATGTGTCAGACTGTCAGCAGACTGCTGAAGAAGGAGAACTGACATAATAGACTCTGTGTTTGTGTGTTTCAGCTCACCTGGATGCCAAAAAGGCTGGAGATCTGTCCACACTGTTTGATGTGGGAGGAATTGTGGGTATGTGCTGTTTGTGTGTGCTCGTCTGTCCCAGTGGACCTTCAGCCTCACTGTTTAGCAATGCTTGGGGACAAAATTGATGTCCCAAAGTTAGAGACTGTGTTTGTTTTTGTGATCTAGAAAATGAAGCCATGCAGTTTACAGAGCAAAAGAACAGAGGGACATTTTCCCGTAGACATGCACACTGTGCATACACAGAAAGAGTCTCTCCCTGCTGGCCTTCAGACAGAATGCAGGTTTAAAATCTATTCAGCTTCACTTTTCAGACCTGGAAGCTTCGTGCATGCTTTGCATGTCTGTGGTTTTTGGTCTGTGATAATTAACCCTGATAGAGACCAGCTGTCAGGGTTTATGAAGCAATGTACAACATGATCACCATGAAGTATTATGATGATTAACGACTGAATGTGTCTTTCTGTCGTATAGGGGGCGTCTTAGCAGGTGTGATCTCTGATAAATTGGGGAAGCGAGCCACCACCTGTGCAGTCATGTTACTGCTAGCTGCTCCTACAGTAAGTCTTCACTGTACTGCAACAGTCAGGAAACATCGTCCACTGTGTGCTGCAAGACTGTGAAAACACTCTTTGATTATGAAGCCTGCACAGGGGAGATTAGACCAGGTTTTTGGCTCCCCCTGCTGTGCAGCACTTGACACAGTCACTTCATTAGGTGGTGCAGGTTGGCTCCGTTTTGCCTTCAGAACTACCGCGATTCTTCATTTCATAGGTGCTCAAAACATTCTTCAGTTGTTGGCTGATTGTCTAGAAAGTATATTTTCTGTCCCAGTACATCCTGAAGGCACACTGTCAGGTGGAGATCTGGTGACTGCAGAGACCCTTTGAGCACAGTGAACTCACTTCACATGTGAAAAAACTAGCAGACAGAAACTGTCTCAAAATACCAAGTCTGTGCAGTTTTTTGTTGTCCAAACTTTGGACAGTAAATGTAGCCTCAGTTTACTGCTGAGAGGAGTGACCCCCATCTGACATCAGCCATCATCAGCGCCGAGCAGCCAACAACCACGCTACGTTCACAGACACTTATATCACCTCTTTTCCCTTTCTGATGCTCAGTTTAAACATCAGCATCTTGACCTTGTCTACATCCCTAAATTGAGTTACTGCCATGTGATTGGCTGTGTATTTGCGTTAACTTGTTGAACAAGTGTCCCCTATAAAGTGTCCAGTGAGTATAATTGCTGAGGAGCAAAGATTACAACACATTTCATGCTATTTTTTATAGTAAAAGGCTTACATGTAAGAGTACGAGGTGATATTAGACACGTAAGTGTTAACTGTCCTGTTTTATTCTTTTCCTGCAGCTTTACGGCTTCTCCATGATCAGTGAGTTTGGTTTGGGGCCAATGATTGGTAAGAACCAGCTAGCACTGAATGATAGTTAATCAGTAGGTCTGGAACAATTTTCTGTTCCTTAATTGTAATATATGTAAATGAAAGGATAAAGGCATGTTAGCATATGCTTCAGTAGTATGGCTCTGCAGTAAAAGGTTCAAAAGCGGCCTGCAGTCCAGACCTGTCATGTGTTGTTTGTTCAAACAGAAGCCAATCAAATTCCTCTCATACTGCAGGCTTACTCCTGGTTCCCAGGTTACTTAATGGGAGGCAGAGCCTGCAGCTTTCTGGCCTCCTTCTGTGGAACCAGCACCCACTTTGATTCACGAGTTGGACAATAAATAAATTCATATCAGCACTAGAGTTAGCTCCCCCTTTGTTTCCAGGTGCTGAGGTCCGTACAAATTTAGTCACATGAGCTGGTTGCATTTATTACAGTAGGTTATCAGTCAGCGATTGAATGTCCAATCAAATCTAAATAAACACAAGTGACTTGTTTACTGTGGCATAAATGATGACTCTTGGTTATTCCCTCTGAGCTGCTGATGGTCAAGGGAAGTTGGCATTATGGGATACAATGTAGTGCCTTCAGAGCAATATCAGCTCACATTTACTGTAATTACATGAACACACATTCTAATGAAGAGAAGTGCACATGCTAGTAAGACACTACCGGCAGGTTTGTGGAGGACACAAACACCTCAGCCTGCATGCATTTGTTTCCAGCAGTAAGATTTCAGTGGCTGCAGAATTTCCATTCCTTACAACCAGGATAAAACGTCCTTAATCTGTGTGCTTCAGGGATGCTGTTAGTGTGCGGAGGTCTAGTGAATGGACCGTATGCGCTCATCACAACTGCAGTGTCTGCTGATTTGGTAAGGATGTTTAACACTACTGTAATTCCAGTGTGATTGTGTTTGTAAATCATCATTTATTTCATTTTAAAATCACCTTTCTCCCCTTGTCGTCTTTTCCTCTGCCCCCCTTTTTTCTATTTGGCTGTAGGGCACCCACAAGAGCCTGAAAGGCAACGCCAGAGCACTGTCTACAGTCACAGCCATCATTGATGGCACAGGATCTGTAGGTCAGTACTGCTGCTCAGCTTATGTTTACGGCTTGTTTGGATGAGAATGAGGGGTCTTATTAGGGTCCTATTAGTGATATGTATGATAGTAATAATTGTTAATAATTACATTTAACAAGTGCATGAATCCTCAGCCAAGAATTGATTTTAAATTTGTGTACAATGTAGTAGTAGTTCAGAGTAATGAGGGCATCTCATTGGCTCAGGCTAAACAACGAAGCTCTGGCTTTGTTGGATTTGATGATTATAAACAATACAAATATCAGTTTAGTTACCATTTAATGATGATTACATTAGCATGCCTTGTGTTATTTTTACTCATTTATAATCATCCCATGTAGAAATGTGAAGAGAGGATTCATGTACACGAATAATCTTGTTCATGTTTGTGATGTCAGGCGCAGCACTCGGCCCGCTGTTAGCTGGACTGCTGTCTGCAGGCGGCTGGGATCAGGTCTTCTACATGCTGATGACTGCTGACTTTCTTGCTCTGTTGGTAAGGCCTTTAACTTGCATCATATAAGAAGATTACAAAATGACAAAACGAAAGCAGAAAATTTGCACCTATGTGCACATTAGCACAGAATACTGGCCTCTTTGAACACACTGATAGTTTTCCAGCTCTTTGGTTCAGTCACTGCTGCTGTAAAGGTTTTTTGTAACAACAAGCAGCTGTTTTCAGAAAATCAGTCACTACCTGCTCAGCAGCAAAGAGCAGACAGATGCAGAGACCAGCTGGTGAAGCAGTGAAAAGTCAGATATTTAGCTCAGGAGCTGGAGTCGAGAAAACTAAGACAATGTTGTGTTTTTACCCTTGTTTCTGATGAATAAAATGAACTGAATGACGAGTGGTCTTGCTTGCTATAGAAAAACAGATGCTCATACTAATGTGTAACCTTGCAGCTTTTGCTACGGCTCGTGACAAAGGAGCTGGCCTCATCTAAATCCCATCCTATCTCCACTGTAGAGTAAGTCCTCCTGTTATCTCGATCATGATTATACTCAGCCTGACTGCTGCTTTTGGTGCTGTACTGTAATTCTTGTGTATCTGCATTAATTTGATGTTCAAATGTTGGGCTGCTGTTTTTTTTTTGTTTTGTTTTTATAACAAAACAGTTATAATACACTTAGAAGTACTTCAATGTTTATATTATATCTTTCAAACATGCAGATAATAAAGTTGAATTCTACTCATATGGATTAAATACAACATGATGAGTGTGAACACTGGCTTTGCCCCCAAAAATAAATAGGCTTAATCTACGATCACTATGATCTTTTTTTAGTTTACAATCAGAATCGCTCACATGGAGAAAACAATGCTTCTGATTGTGTTGGTAGTCACATGACTCAAAGCCATCATGGAGCTTCATTCCACTCATTGTAGCTAATGTAGTATCAGTGGGCAAAGATGACAGATGGTAATGAATGTAAAATGTCTACAACAATCAGATGTAAAACTCTGTTTTAACAACGAAAGAGAGCCGCAGATTAAGAATAACTAAGGATTAAATGCAGCGTGGGACACCAGTGCATCATGGGAAGCCCTACCAGACTAGGTCCATTCCAGTGTTGCTACAGGAGTGATCGGGTCACCTGATCCAGCCCAAACTATATGCTTTATCAAAAAGGGAATTTTTAAGCTTAATCTTAAAAGTAGTGAGGAGAGGGGTTTGAAAGCCGAAGACTCTCCATCCAGTTCTACTTTTAAATTTCCTGGGAACCCCAAGTAAGCCTGCAGTCTGAGAGTGAAGTGCTCTACTGGGGTGATATGGTCGTATGAGGTCTTTAAGATAAGTCTGGGCCTGAATATTCAAGAGCTTATATGTCCAGGTTTCTTAGGCAGTCACTGTATTACTGCATGTTTAAACTACAGCAGAGGACAGACTGATGTTTATAATGGCAAGAACAGACTGCCTTATACTAGGCTGAATTTCTTTTTAAAAAATCAGGGATGAGGGGAATATGAGGGCTTAAAATGGGAAACCACATCCTCTAAGAGGGACAAAGTCACAAACTCAACCTGAGTAAAGGCAGCAGCACAGAGGGGTCAGGAGAGCTGTGATAAGAGCCCTGGTGGTGACAGCCTTTTAATAAAAACGCTCAGGAAATTATTGCATATATCAGGAGAAGCTTAAACAGACATGCTGTGGAGCATTAAGGACAGAGTCAGTAGTGTTAAATGACACATGTGAGTTATGGCCTTTGGAGGAAATGACATTTGCAAAATATTTCTTTTTTGGCTTTTTGATAGCGTTGCAGTAATGACACCGGCAGTCTTTTAAAATGTAAAATGACACCTGCAGTTTAATCTTTCCTATCTGCGCTGTGCTCTGCGACATTTCCTCCTGACAGCATGAGTCATTAAACCAAGGCTCAGGTTTAGCTTTAGCTGTCTGGTTTTTAAATGGAGCCGCAGAGTCCACGATGGTTTGACAGCAAGAATAAAACCAGGAACTAAACTCCTTTCAGTCAGAATGGCCACAGAGCTGATTGAAAACAGCAGAAAACAAAAAAGGGAGATAATAACCTGAAGGCCAAACAGGAGCACAACATGTAACTGCAGCATGTGTAAAACCAACAGGCCTGCCTGTGACCAACATATCCATGCTCATAGAGCCGGTACAGAGTGTACCAGATTTAAAAAGTCAGTGAAGCACAGAAAGTTCTTTATGAAGTTCTTATTGGGGGGGGGGCATGTTTCAGTCACACACAAAACATCGAGATCATGGGAACTGAAAAAGTCCAGAAGAATAAAAGTTTTCCTTACTAGTGATCTGGTGTTCACCAGGCAGGAGCTGGAGCTTTGGCTTCGGAAAGCTGAGAGACCCGGTGCAGCAATCTCAGGTTTCAGAGATATTCTCGTGCAGGTTTAGCCAGAGCATAGCCGGCAGGGCCGGAGAGTTCATTACAGCTGATCATGGGTACCAGGCAGGTATCAACAGAATCCGGGAAATGGAGAGGCACAAAACAATCTTTGGAGACATCCATGTGCTGGTCAGACAACAGCAGAATCATACCTCAGGGAAAACCTCACCTTTACCTGTTGAGTGCTCAATATATAAACACAAGCAATCTGTGTGAGTGGCAGAAGAGCAGCCACACACACCGACATCATCTTAATATCACTAGTGGAGAATGAAAATGGCAGACATGTCTTCAGTTAGACATGCCGAATATCCAGTTGTGGCCAAAAGTTTTGAGAATGACGCAGATGTTGGGTTTCACAAAGTTTGCTGGGATGAGTTTGAGTTCAGTCTAATAACAGATAAAATGATGCGTTTCAGCGGTCGTTTTCATTATCTACATGCATGTTAGAGTCACCCACAATAATCATTTTAAAATGATTTGAAACTCTGAGTAAGAACCAGGTGGACGATGGATTACAGCAAATAAAACTGTTTTTCCAATTTTCTGGCTAAGATGCACAAACTAAGTGTCAGGCTTTCAAAAGATTTAAAACTCTGTGTGTTTGGTTGGTTCAGGAGGTTTACACAAGAACTGCACATCTGAAATAACTCAGACATAATTTAAAATTATGTTGCTGATGTCTCTGTGCCAAATTCTTCTATGGTCTTGTAAGATTATGGAAGACCAGCACCAGACATGTTACACATTAAAGATCTTATTCTCTTTATTTTTCTTATTTTTTTTGTGTGTGTGTTTGGTTGAGCTTATACTTGAGTTTCTTAAAAACCAGTCCAAACTTGGTTCATGACTGGAATATTCTTGTCCTTGTACGACTACAGTCAGTGATCGACTATGTGTTCTATCTCGGGGCTGAATGTGAACATAACATGTGCAGATTGATTTATTTCCTAAAAACAAACCAGCTGTAATGTTCCCTCGTGGGCAGGAAGTTCACTGGTGTTGACTGTAAAGCTTAATGACTCAACTTATCAACACAGCGTTAATGTTTGTCTCTTATTCACAGGTTGAAGGAACACTGAGCACTTTGATTGCACTGTGTACACACCTACACGCAGAGTGCAATGAAACCACTTAAGGTTGATATGGATTGTGACTGGACTGCCCTGACAGATGAAACTGATTGTTAATAAACCAGCGTGTATGCTTGTGTGCGCCTACAATCATGCTGCAGTGCTTTACTGATGAAGAGCTATGACTGAAGCTGTAGCTGCTGCGCTGAGCAAGCAGCGCGGCACACAGTTTAAAAGTCTCATGTGCACTTACTGTACTTGCTTAACTTCCCAATGTCCCTCTTAGCCCTTGAATTCAGTTTGAACTTGATGACTGGTATGTCTTGCTGCTCACTTGTATGTTGGAACTTTTTCAACCTTACCTGTCCAGTTAATTTAAGGGGCTATTTGTAATTGTGTGCCTTTTACAGTGGTACCTAGCTTTGATAGTTGTTTTTTAAAGTTATCAATCACAGAATTAAGAAGAGCTTCATCAAAGCTGGGGTCGTTGCCAGGACTAAAAAAACGTCAGACCTGCTACAAAAACAGCAAGCATGCAGTTTTTACACTTTACTTCCTGTGTAGTTCTGTAGCAAATATACAGAAAACATACATGATAGAGTCTCAGGTAACACTGTACTCGCCCAGGACTTCATGATAAATAGCACTTTAACGATTGTAGTTCTGCCAATTAGAACCACTAAAACTGGAAACACCACAGGTTGCTAGGTCTCTGTGTCCTTACTGTCTTTTTTGTATGAATAGTGTTTTATATTGTTGGTGTTTGTATTGGCAAAATTTTCATACAGTTCATTTATTTGGTGCCATGTGAGCTGTCTGTCAAAGTTTGAGGCTTATGAGGAGGACTGATATTTTTATTTTTATTGTTGTACTGGGATAAATTCATATACCTCTACCCAAAACCTGGACAGAACCACTTCTTAATATCGTGCCTAGAGCTGTTAACTTTTTTTGAAATAAAATTTAATCAGATAGCAGTCATCTAGAAACGGTGATGCAGAACTAATTCCATCATATCTGTTGAAGAGAAGAAGGAAAACAAAGACCACCTCGTTGAACCAAAGAGATGATGGGATTGGTTTAGTTTACATGTGTATTTATTTTGAAAATCATTTTTGTTTCCTTTTCCATTGTCCTGTGGTAGTCTGTGATTTAGTAATAAAACGAATGTAGCTGATCTCTCTCTCTCTCTCTTTCTCTCTCTATACACACACACATCTGTGTGGTGATTTGGGGGGGGGGTATTTATGTTAGATGAATAAGACTGTTTCTGTTTTACGGTGGAGAGAATATTTAAAGAATATTTATTGAGAAGGACTGAACACTACATTTAATTCTTGTTCTCATGATCTTATACGCATTAAAAATTCACAAACTGTATATCATGAATTAAAACATTGATTTATTTTTCTGCAGATTTGTGTTTTAATCATTAAGAGTGATATTTTGTATGTATTTAACCTATGAAATAGGTTTATGTAACTGTATTTTAAAGGGGATCTTGGTGGTACTCTTAAGACAATATCCTTGGAACAAGACCACATGTAAATATTATGTGTCAGTGGTAAGATTAATACTTGAGACCTTGTGTGCCTTTCTTGGTTTTTGCAGGGCAATTTTTTTTAAGTTTCCATGGAAATGAACTTGGTTTGAAGTTGATTTATGTAGAGAAAACAAATAAATCATGTGCTTTTTTCACTGGTTGAACCTTGTGTTGCCTGTTTTGTAGTATGCTACTGCAAGCCAGCTTTTACATTAATTTGTACATGATGTGGACTCACCTGGAAGTGGCAAGTGTTGTGGAAATGGTAAGCTGACAAGGAGAATCCCACTCAGTGATACATACAGACTCTAAGTTACACAGAAGCACATGAACAATAGAGAAAAGCCAAAGCTACATGATGATCCTTGAAATCAGCTAATAACACATTTATTCCATTAGATCCACCTTTCAGGCTTTGATTTCACTTTTCTTTGATGGTTGATGGTTACTACAAAGATGAGTACACACAAACAAAATTCAGTCCATTGGTAATATATGAAGGAAACTACAGTGAGGAAGACTAAGATACAGTATGGTGGAAGCAAGAGGCGTTTATCTGCCCACATATCTCTAAGGCCATTTCAAGCCTCATAGCACAAACAATCAGGCCTAAATACTCTCAGCTGTTAAGGACTAAACCATTATTTTACTGTCAGGCAAGTTTTCCCAATTCTAACCTTCCCCCAACATTGTACAATACACCATTTGAATAAATAAATAGACATTTTATTATTTTTATGGGATTGAATGTTTTTTATTTCACCCTTACACGTTAACAATGTTACAAAAATAAAACCCACTAAAAACCCCATGCACAGAGAGTTCCCACCCTTGGCCTCTCCCAGAACCTTTAAATGGTGTCCAGATCCCTGGGGAAACATTTGGGAGAGGACACGGAAAAGGCAGGTGAGTGATCACACCTCAACAGCAACATTTTGCACCAACCTTTACCTCTAAGCTTTGTACACACATTTGCCTAAGTTTTCCTTGTGTGTGTGTGTATATATCTATATATCTATAGAAAAAATAAAAAACACCCAGCACGCCCCTGTGGGCGGTTCATCCTTCAAGCTCGGGTCCTCTACCAGAGGCCTGGGAGCTTGAGGGTCCTGCGCAGTATCTTAGCTGTTCCCAGGACTGCGCTCTTCTGGACAGAGATCTCGGATGTTGTTCCCGGGATCTGCTGGAGCCACTCGCCTAGCTTGGGAGTCACCGCACCCAGTGCTCCAATTACCACGGGGACCACCGTTACTTCACCTCCACTCCTCTCGAGCTCTTCTCTGAGCCCTTGGTATTTCTCCAGCTTCTCGTGTTCCTTCTTCCTGATATTGCTGTCATTCGGAACCACTACATCGATCACTACGGCCGTCTTCTTCTGTTTGTCTACCACCACTATGTCCGGTTGGTTAGCCACCACCATTTTGTCCGTCTGTATCTGGAAGTCCCACAGGATCTTAGCTCGGTCATTCTCCACCACCCTTGGGGGCATCTCCCATTTTGACCTCGGGACTTCCAGGTTATACTCGGCACAGATGTTCCTGTACACTATGCCGGCCACTTGGTTATGGCGTTCCATGTATGCCTTGCCTGCTAGCATCTTGCACCCTGCTGTTATGTGCTGGATTGTCTCTGGGGCATCTTTACACAGCCTGCACCTGGGGTCTTGCCTGGTGTGATAGACCCCAGCCTCTATGGATCTTGTACTCAGAGCTTGTTCTTGTGCTGCCATGATTAGTGCCTCTGTGCTGTCTTTCAGTCCAGCTTTGTCCAGCCACTGGTAGGATTTCTGGATATCAGCCACCTCCTCTATCTGCCGGTGGTACATACCGTGCAGGGGCCTGTCCTTCCATGCTGGTTCCTCGTCTCCCTCCTCTTTCTTGGATTTCTGCTGCCTGAGGTATTCACTGAGCACTCGGTCAGTTGGGGCCATCTTCCCAATGTATTCGTGGATGTTCCTTGTCTCATCCTGGATTGTGGTGCTGACACTCACCAGTCCCTGGCCCCCTTCCTTCCACTTAGCGTACAGCCTCAGGGTGCTGGACTTGGGGTGAAACCCTCCATGCATGGTCAGGAGCTTTCTTTTCTTCATGTCAGTGGCTTCTATCTCCTCCTTTGGCCAGCCTATTACCCCAGCAGGGTACCTGATCACGGGCAGGGCGTACGTGTTGATGGCCCGGATCTTGTTCTTACCATTCAGCTGACTCCTCAGGACTTGCCTGACCCTCTGCAGGTACTTGGTGGTTGCAGCTTTTCTAGCGGCCTCTTCATGGTTCCCATTAGCCTGCGGGATCCCCAGGTACTTGTAACTGTCCTCTATGTCTGCAATGTTGCCTTCTGGTAGTTCATGAATACACATGTGACGTGACACACAACACAACACATGGCACAGTCCAAAAGAACTTCATCTGCATCCGGCAACAATATCAACATGACTCATTGGAATTCTCTTTATGATAATCTGGAACTGAGAACATTTCGATACACAGACCATAATGTTCTAGACTTAGAAAAGGATATAGACCCGGAAAATAATTTCTTCTACAACATCAGCTGTAACTGCTGCTACTTCACTGATGAACAATTTAAGCACACCATCAACACGGAAAATAAATGATCAATAATCCATTTTAATAGCAGAAGTCTGTATGCCAACTTCAACAATATAAAGGAATATCTAAATGAGTTGACAAATCCATTTGGAATTATTGCCATTTCTGAAACATGGATCAATGCGGAGAAAGGAATGGACTTTGGACTGGAGGGATATGAAGTGAATTTTGTAAATAGAAGGAACAAGAGTGGAGGGGGAGTAGCTGTGTATGTGGATAAAAACCTAAACTACAAGGTGGTAGAAAGTATGACAACTGTAATTGATAATTTACTAGAATGTATAACAATTGAAATTTATAAGGAAGAAGAAAAAAATGTAGTAATTAGCTGTATATATAGAACACCTGGCTCTAGTATTCAAGTATTTAATGACTTCATAGAGGAAATATTCTCTAAAACAAATCAAAAAGTTGTGTTTATCTGTGGTGAGTTTAATATTGACCTGTTGAATCCAAAAAAACATAAAATGAGCGACGAATTCCTAAACACTATGTACAGTTTGAGTTTACATCCTAAAATAACCACGCCCAGCAGAATTACACCACATTGTGCCACCTTACTTGACAATATTTTCACTAACAATATGGAAAACAACATTGTGAGTGGAATATTAATTAATGACATCAGTGATCACCTACCAGTTTTTGCAGTTTATGACACTAATTATAAGAAAAATCAGCATGAAGAACAACTGAGATACAGACGTGTAAGGACAGAAGAAACTATGACTGCATTTAAGAACGATCTATTAAATCAGGACTGGGACAATGTGTACAAAGAAGCTGATATTGATATTGCATATGGCATATTTTTAAGAATATTCATGGAGTTGTACGATTAAAAACTGTCCAACAATAAAATACAACAGAAAGCACAAATATTCAGATAGACCATGGCTCACTAAGGGTTTACAAAATGCATGTAAAAAGAAAAATACACTCTATAGGGAATACCTAAAACAAAGAACAAAAGAAGCTGAAAATAAATATAAAAAATACAAAAATAAGTTGACCAATATTATACGTGTATGTAGAAAGGAGTATTATAGTAAAATATTGAACAACAATAAACATAATATGAAAGGAATATGGGATGTTTTAAACGGTATCATTAAAAATAATTCTGGACAACAAAGTTATCCACAATACTTTATCGATAATGGCAATATTATGGAAAACACTGCTGATAAGGTCAACAGCTTTAATCATTATTTTGTAAATATTGGACCAAAACTGGCAGAACAAATTCCTGAGTCACTGCCATCAGTAGAATGTAGTGAAAACCTGATTGATAGGAACCCTAACTCAATGTTCCTCACATCAGTGGAGGAAAAAGAAATAATTGACATTGTACACATGTGCAAATATAAAACATCTACTGATTGTAATGATATTGACATGAAAATCGTCAAGAAGGTCATTGAAGGAATTGTAGGACCTCTAATATATATTTGCAACTTATCATTTCAGACGGGAAAAGTGCCAAACAAAATGAAAATAGCTAAAGTTGTGCCGCTGTATAAAACCGGGGATAGACGCCACTTCACAAATTACAGGCCTGTTTCTTTACTACCACAATTCTCCAAAATCCTAGAAAACCTGTTTAATAAACGATTAGACAAATTCTTAAATAAATATAAATTACTCTCTGACAGTCAATATGGATTCAGATCAAAAAGATCAACATCTCTGGCATTAATCGAATCAGTTGAGGAGATTACGAATTCTATAGATCAGAAACAGTATGCAGCTGGAGTATTTCTGGATCTCAAGAAAGCATTCGACACAATCAATCACGACATATTAATTAATAAACTGGAACGGTATGGGATTAGGGGGGTTGTACTGCAATGGGTGAAAAATTATTTAAGTGACCGGAAACAATTTGTGAAGCTGGGTGTCCATTCCTCATCATGCTTGGACATTGCTTGTGGTGTTCCACAAGGCTCTGTACTGGGTCCAAAATTATTTATTATTTATATAAATGATATTTGTAAGGCATCTGATATATTAAAATTAGTATTA